TGGGCCAAAATTAAAATCCTCATTGTTTTTAAGTTGATTTGTGGACATTTCGTGTTAGCCAAATGTGAGATAAAAAAATATTCAAACAGACTTATTTCTCTTTAACATGGTTCATGGACTTCTAATTAGCGAAATCTTATAATTGTCCTAAACGTTATAAACATATTTTGAGTCAAACAAGCAATCTGATATTCATTTCATAAAACTCTAAGTGAAATATAAATTCTAGTGAATAGAAATAATAAGAATTGAACTGATTTCGGATAAAAGCAATGGAATTTAGTTGTTCAAACATCTCAACATATAGCAGGAGATGCTTACTGATAGAAAGTTATTAATGTCGCAATCTGAACTCAGGCATTTATTTGGCATTTGAAGCGACTGGTACTGGGTCGAAGTCTCGGTGGAAACAACATCCAGCTGACGAGTCCCAGATGGGACAAAGCGCACTTCCTGATGCCCACTTTTAGCCAGGAAGATGAAGTAAACCCATTCAGTTGATCCTTGTGTTCAGTGACTTTTATGCAGTATTCAATGATGAATGAAAGGTTTTCTTGAAATTTCATCACACAATATCTGTGGAGAAATAAGTATTATATTTTTTATGAATTTCATACATCTTCACACAGATATATAGATTCATGCAGTGAATTAAGGTAGGAAGAAAATATCCATATGATGAGTGTAATTAAACAAGTTATGCTGAAACAAACTGTTGAACATAATTTTTTCGTTTTGTACGCCTAGAATACATTGAAAGTAAGTTTCAAGGAAAAATATTGCTAAATACAAAGTGATTATGAAGAGAAGTTCTAATAGTGATTTATTACTTCCTTATTTATACACTTAAGTATTATTTTATTACTTTGTGTACAAAATAAGCAGTTATTACTGTTCATAACCAAAAAATAAAGAGGTAATAATAGTAATATGGGAATAGTAGCGAATTAATTTTTAAGTGAAAAGTAAGATAGTTCTACCTCTATATCTGTTTGCACATATATGATTATGCTTGTGAATTGTGCTACTGATATTCCAAGTGTAATAAAGAACACTTTTATTGTTTAAGATATAATGAAGTTAAATGAAACTAAAAAGTCATTAAAAAGGTGTTCGTGAATTTAGTATACTAGTATGATGAATTCATAGCATGGAATTTAGATGAGTCCACAAATACATCTTTTTCACTATCATGGTATTCTATTGTAAAAGTTTGAAATGAACCAAAGACGGACTAAAACAAAATAATCGGCATATTTATTTTATTTGGAACTAGAGAATCAATACTAAAGTCTAACAATGAATTAGATGACCAATGAGTAGTTCTCCAGAACACCTTGGTTTGTTTCTTCTCTGATCTATTCTGCTTATAGTACAGCATTACATTGTTTTCAACACAACTTATAAATTTCAGTCTTTGGTGTTAACTTGTCTAATATTAAACCTCAGAGAAAATACTTTTACGTAGGCACAGAATGTCACTAATAGGCAGTGATTTACTACTAACTGCCGCAAATTTAAAACTAAATGGTTTTACAGTACATTTTTCTTTATGATGTTAAATACCGCAATGGGCCACATCCATGTGTGTCTACCAGTTTACCTGTACATGTGGAGCTGGCCGCAGAAGGCGCAATCTTGCCATTTACATCGCTGAGCACTATTCTTCTCGATTGTACATAGCAGAACTCAAGTCAAACAACATTTCCATCTTGGAACATACGGTCATTTCTAGTCATGTCGCTTTCACAAAATCCTCTACAAAGTCAATGCCAAATGGCTCAAAAGTAATGCGAATTCGTCACTTATGCATGGCAGAGATGTTGGCAATCCAACATTTAAAGCTTGAGATCTGCACGCAGAAGAGTTACATCAATTCTATTTTTTACTGCGGTCGTAATCCTTCCTTGAGTTTCTTTAATGCTTCAGTCTTTATCTGACTTCTACTGGGTGATTATTAATATTAGTTTTTATTTTTATTATTATTATATGGTTCACTTTCCTACATCTTATCATGTTAGCACTAATCTTCCACATTACTCTGATCACTGATTATAATTATTACGATTATTTTCAAAGTCCTATCAACCACGACACTAATCGATAGAATATTTTGCATATGCACACTGTGACTACGAAATCCCTTTCTAAATCTTCACTCGTCCCACTATTTCAACCTTGAATATCCCTTTTTGATCACCTAGTGTTGACCCATGAGCCAATAAAAGATACATTTGTTTGGAGGTAGTATTCATCACGGACCGACATTAGTTGGGGAACCATTGAAAATCTGGGAGCACTGGATAGCTGTTTCTTCCTAGTATGGGACCCCTCGGCAGTATGCATTTGTTTGTTTGTTTCTACTGAAAATACGATTGCGCAACTACTGAAAATAATTCATCAAAAAAGAAGCATTTTTCCCACTGAGTTACCTTGCGTTTTTGAAAACGACCATTTGTTTAACATAACTGACTGTACAGTGTACATGTTTAAGATTAGCGGATATTTATTTTTCATTGAAGTGAAGAACTAGTCAACCGTTGGGTCTTATTGTTCAGTTACAGACACCCTGTCTCGTAATCTGAAAGTTAATTAGTTGGAAACTACTACGACCAACATTTCAAGTTTAACTTTGAGCTATAGACCAGTACAGATAATACCAGTTGGCCAGTCAGCGGCTTTCTTGAGTTTCATCAATCATAACAACAGTGAGACAAAAGCTTTTCCCCAGAGACAAATATGCTTAACTGACTCAATAATGTTGAGATATGTGCTTAATGACAAATAACTACTATACTGTAAATCTTGCTAATAAGCCTCGTAAAAAAGAGTGGATAGTTGGGGCGTGTTGCTGAAGGCCTATGTTTTACTAGGAACCGAAGCGAAAAATAATAATGATAATTAATTACAGTAGTTGCTAAAGTGATCTTTAAAGTCACTCATAATTAAACTAGAAAAGAGGCAGGTTTATAAAAGACAACTAACTCACCTCAAATTACTTTTGTCCCTTAATGGGTAATTTTAATTATTTGGATCGAATAAATAATCATACTTGAGACAATGTACATAAATAAGTCATTAATGAGGTAAGATAGGGTGTAAATGAAAGCTATTTACTTCATTTAGAAGTCAAATAATGTCAAGTTATTGCTTAAAATTACAATTGACTGCCATTCTAGACTCAAATGTATCCTTATATTGTTGTCATGATTTAAACGACATAGTTCACCCCAGTAATACTTAGCGAAAACATTTTCAGAGTTACTAAAATGATATTTCAGTCCATATGTTTGACTTCTAGAGTAGGCTTATAAAAGTTTATTATTCAAAGCTACTTGTGTTCCTTAGGTAACCCATAATCTTGAATAGGTGAGTGAGCTATCGTTCATTGATCCACTTAAAAACAATATGGGACTAAACAATTTCCATGAAAAGTAATAGGCTTGATCTTTAACAATAATATCTTAGCTTGATTTCCACTAAAATATTTAACATAAGAGCTGTATATATGGACATCACTGTGGTAAAATGTGGTATAGATAATCAATACTGTTAAAAGCTGAAACTGTATCTCACACAACGAGTGGACTAACATTCTTCAACTTGAAGAAATGAATGTTTTGTTCAAGTTAAATAAATAATAACGCCTTATTTGCACTCAGATATCAAACAGTGAAACAATAAATGTACATTTGAAATGTGACAGAAACTGTCATAAGTGAAGGAATAAAGCATTAACTTATCACTTGTATGAACTTTTTAAAATGGTACAAACATTAATAGACGGGGTTTTAACGAGACATCATTCACTTCATTAGTGTAAGAAAAAAACTTTGGCACTGTAGTGCAGTGTAATTCCATTCCGAATCACGCATCCTGGAGTCCACTACTAGAAACTCTGTGTCGCAAATGTAAAAATCTCGAACCTTTTGTTTTCTACCGCATATCTTTTTCTCTTCGTCACTAATAACTGGCTTCTTCTCCTACACCTAAGCTATTTTATTTCTTTTTCACACAGGCTGTTTTAATGATACACAGTAGCATTCTTTGAAGCGAACAACTGAAACTTGTTGACTTATTTTGTTCAAGTGAAAAATTTTGATATCTCAGTGAATAAAATATCATGGTTTCTGAAAATATTTCAACATTTTCTTTTCAATGTCTCTATTGCAGAGTAAACGACACTTCGTCGCTAGACTTGGTGAACAATTTCATTGTATTTTACTGTTTGATCTAAACGACCAAGTGATAATGAATTCATTATAAGAATATATGAAGATTTAACATAAAATCTAAGCATCTCCTCAGCACACCAATGAATTTAGTTATATGAAAGCAATATTATCTGTTTTTTGAAGAAATTAGTTATAAGGCTGATGTCAAATAGTACTTTTGTCCCAAATGAATCCGAAACATATAAGAAACCAGTGCACTGCTATGTTGATTATTCAGTTAAGTAAACTAGGTCTCTCGCTAAACAGTCCTCATTGAAAATGTATATCCTTGACATTAAAAAACCTAGGTTCCCAGTGAATACCTAAAAGCTTTCAATCGGTGTATTTTGAGGTATTGATTACTAACTGTACATAACTCAACTGGAATGTTTTAGGAAACTGGAATAGTTAATTATTCGAGAACTAATTATCAATCAACTTTCAAGATGTTTTATTGTATTTTGATGATATAGGACGAAAAACAACTTTCCAAATACTTATCCTGTCCATTTATAAACTTCTACGAAGATTTTCGTGTTAATTAACAAGAAACATCTGGAATAAATTTTTTTCTTAGCAAATTTTTCGAGCTCATAAATCGAATAATTTCTCAATGAAATGTTTATTAAGATGTTCTCACAGAAAACCGCTCATAATAAATGAGCTAAAAGTTGTGAAAATTTTATTAATCGACTTTCATAAAAACTAATACAAATATGAGAAATTAATCACAACCAAAAGGAAGTTAACTGTAAATATTTGAACACACTAAAAGTATCCACTTACCAAAAATCCATCTCCAATTCGATTTATTTCATTACTCGAGAGTACTGTTGTAGGTGGTGAAGAATTTTGTAAACAAAGTGAATCTTGATAAGACGACGAACAACCGATTTGGGTAAATGCCATAATTATCGTTGCCAGGAATGCTTAAATGCTAATCTTTCTCCTTGTTTTATCTGTTTAAATACGGTAATAACTATTAGAGCATAGCATTGTTTAAATACTCCCAGGATATTAAATTATGCTGTCAATGAATTTTCAACAAATAAATCGTGTATAATTTGTGAATACAAGGAACTAGGATAAAATTTCAAGCAAAAAATTTACTTTCACCCAGAATTTCACTTTTTATTCAGAAAAATAAATCGGTTCAAATTCGACAAATTATCTGTTGTCAGTACAAATCGAAAATAATTTCAAGATGTAATTGTTTTGGCCTAATATTATTTGGTGTGGGGAATTAAAAAATATCCCGTATAATTCCCTTCTACCTTCTGTGCCCTTTTTTGTCTGTGTATACGTGCCTGCGTGCACTAGTAAATATTGTGCTGGTATTTGTGGATCTGTCCGTAAGCGTTTGCTGTGTACATCTGTGTTAGGGAAGAAAGGGGAATGAAGCGAAGATATAGAAACGGTGCTTATAGATTTTAGTGATGGGGAGAAAAATCGCAAACAACAATAGGTACCAAAAGAAGGAGAAGAAACAAATAAAAAATGCTTTCATATATGGAGTGTACATAAAATTATAATTCTGTGCCACATGCACCCATCAGATTGGTTTATTATCAGTAAAACACGTAGCAGTAGGGGTCACATATGGGAAGTAAGTTGTTGATCAATGAATACATATTGTATCATACTATTTAAAATTAATGTGTTTATTCACTGATACTTGTAATTCCCTGTTGTTATTCTGGATCGAATTAATTGTCCTCTGTTGGCATATGGGCTCTAATACAGATTTTTCCTTACTACCTGATAATTGATTATTTTATAAGTTGCTAGGTATTGGCTAGTAGTGGAATCCAGGAAGTGCATTTTGTCCTGTCTGGGAACTTATCAGTCGAATGTACCTGTATTTCAGTGGACAATATTGTTCCTAGTGAGACTCAATTCCAGCAACCACCACCTCAAACGTCAAGGTATAACCCTGGTGGCTTAGTGGGTAACGCTTTTGTGACTGGAGCGATGAGTGCCAGGTCCGGGTCTCAGTAGGAACACCATTGCTCACCGGGGTGCAGCTGACGAGTGTCAAACAGGACGAAACACACTTTCTGGATTTCACTACTGTCCACTATCCAAAAAATTACAACATAAATGAATTTCACATTTACTTGTTAAGGCATTATATATATAAAACTGTAAGTGTGGAAAGGACAAATATGACATAAAGGAATTCAATAATAAAAGAGATAATGCGAAGAAAAAGAAAGGATTTGAAGACAATCTTGGTAATACGATAAAATAAGCATTACCAAGGTAGGCTTAATGCAAGAACAAACTGTTTTTGCACACACAGTGCACATGCAGCAGACAACCATCATCGTCCATTGCAAAACAAATGAATTTATTTTCAGAAACAGCAGTTTCCTAGAGTTTTTGCTGGACACTTTTGTGTAAATCAACATAGTTAAACTGCTACAATTAATATTGAATGTGTCACTGTGTTTTCATTCCAAATTACAGTCTTGGAGGTGAGAAACATTATCTTCAGTATAACATATTCCCCCTCTGATGAGATTGATCATTGTTAACTTCATAATATATCAAGAGGTCTACAAATACCATCTATTCCACACTGTACGTTATTGTCCAGTCGATCTCTGAAATGATCAGACCATAGGTCTTATTTCATCATTAGTTTGTGTATAGCAGTAAAATAAATTAACTTTCATGAACTTAAGCTGAAGTTTCGACGTAAAAGAACAGTAAGCTGAATAAAATAATCAATTTGTCTCACCACAGTTTACACTGCTAAAAAAGACTTATCAGCAGTTCGAATAACAATGAAATTTTTAGTCAAAAATGACAGTCTTACATTTCAGACTGTCAGTAAAATATGTTTCATTCAACCTTCTTTCATTGATTCAATTTATTCGACTTCGGATGTAATTATGACCAAGAACTTAAAAGAAATGAACACAAACCCGACTAACAATCTTAGAAATATGATAGTTTATCCTCCTAATTGGTATCCACACGTGAATCGTTAGCTATCAGTTATTCGGTTTGAAACCGAAAAGTACTGTACAACCACTTTTCTTGATTATGTATCAGACTGATCTCAGAACCTTCTTGTCTAAAAGAGGAAAGGGAACTTGTGTCACTATCGGGTGTATACAAAGACATCAGTGCCCTGAGAATGCTGTTTAAGATCTGTAATTAAAGATTTCCGTATCTGATGCCAACTCTGTACCCAGCCGACATTTTCTTCACATAATTCGGTTAGCTTGATCCAACAGGACAGCCAGAATTATCGACGCTAGGTGGTTTCAATGAATCACGAACTAATCGTTACGATAGCAATGTGTATTGCTTTTCTAGTCGGTCTTTTCTAAAAATGTGGACTACTTATAAGAATACCCAGTAGTACGGACAGCTGATATTACTTAAGAGAAGCCCATCGTTAGTTAACTTCTCAACAGCTTATCGTGTCAGCAAAAAGGTAACTGGGTCAACAAACTTTTGCAGAAATCCTTTCCAGTGGCTGAAGACGATTTCTTTCTCCTAAAATTGATGACTTTTCAATAATCAAATTTCAATGTTATAGTTTTGACCTATTCAAGAGTTTTACTATTCTGCTTAGAAATTTTCCAGTTATCCTTTAAACTTAGTGAATTCTGAATTATCGACCGTTTTTCTCTATCTAAATTACTCATCAGGAACAGCGAAGATGGCTCTATGACACAATCGTTACTATATGGAAACTCAGTGCTAATAAAAATCTAACCAGCTGATTACATCAATCCTAAGTGGATCAACTGTCAGCTGATATAAGAAAAGTTGGTTCCTTGATCACTCACTAAGGAGTACCCAATTTCATACTGTCAAGTCTTGACAGCTGAAAGGATTCCATAGATCGCTTCTCAGTACGTAGCATCACGGTACACTTTGACTGGTGTTAATATGTTGAAGCGAATCGGCAGAAACCCCTAGATCTTTGTTTCATGCCTAGTGATACTCATTGGCAAGGCGTATTTGCAACCTCAAGGGAATCGAATTCCTTCGGGAGATATGAACCAATGTTTCGCTATACTAATTCAAAAGTCCTACATATACTACAGTCGGGGGTTTTGGGGATCAACAGATTTCAAGGCAGTTTTCGTCATGAACCGATATCGGCTGAGGAGTCACGAGGAAGCAGACGACAATGCATAGTTTCTTGCACTAGCTTGGTCATCATCAATAGGATACACCCAGTACTTTACGATACATCGAGTCAAGAACTGTAATTTCTCATGATGAGCGCGTTACAATTTCGCTAGTGTGCTGCAATCCAATGGTACCTGAGGGCGTTATAAGTGTACGCTGCTGAGGAATCCCGTATTAGAACAAAAAAGTGGTCTAGTAACTGCAGGATTTCTATAGTTTGCAAACTCATGCATGTCCGTGATGAACACTTTTTTGAAATAATGAGTATGGAAACCTTTTTCTTCCAATTTAACAATCAGCATACGCACCAAGTATGCCTAAACACTTATTTCCTCTGTGTTGTCCTAACAGAACCAGTGATGAGGACAGTGCAGCAATAGCATTTCCAGTAAAAGTTGCTTCATTAGAATGTGTCGTATTGAATTATTAACAAGCGTGCCAGTAAGCTTTGGTACAGGTTGAACTATTTGTGCTTTTACTTATGCAGTTCTGCACAACTGTGTATAACTATCTCGAAAGAAAGAAGCTATAAATCATCCATCGACTTCAACAGATAAAACATTGGCGTTATACGTTAGTTGTTAAATCTTGTTTAACTAACTTGGGCGCGTTGCAACTTTGAAATATACAATCTCATCAGTTCAGGAAGCATAAGTGAATGATGTGTAAAAGGTATAGAAGTTTAGTTCGGTTATTGATACTGACTAAAGGTTACAAATAACATGTATGTTCTCAATACAACTGACTGATGGATATTTGTTTCAAAAGTTGTCTCTTTACTACACAGTCAAGCAAGAAATTTTTGTAAACAAAACGAATGCTCGTTCATATATACGGTTAGATCGTTACAAACTAGCTCCAGCATTTCAACCTACTGTTCAATCAGACAAGATAGAGTTTGTTGTTAACTTTCCCATATTATAACTATTGCCATACAATATGTGCATTGAGCAATGGGCCATAGAAGTAATAAAGCAAAATTGAGAAGACAGGGAAGATGAAAGAAAGATTAACAACTAGAGCAGAAGTGGGTTTATGCGGGGCCAGCCTCAAATGTAACTGTAATCAAAAATGCACATTTGTCAAACTTCCTCAGTTCGTAAAGTCCAGGTCCTACCTGCTTGAAGCAAAACTTCCTGCATTAATGCGTTGTATTCCCTACCTTTTACAGCATGATTACCATCATAACGGTGCCAAAGGCGGCCGAAATTGGCGTTAGCACTCTGGTTTTTGACCTACTGTAGAAAATCTCATTGATCACACATCTACTAGCACTTACACAACTACAAACGCACTGAAACCCTTTGATTAGTTCCAATGAATCACCACTGAACTTGACCGCAGGCACAGGCCCCTGTCAATCTTGTAGAGGCACTCAAACGATGTGAAGCACACACCAAACTTAGAGACAACAATTGTTTACTGAGTGAGTGCGATTTGAGTAGCCAGTATTTTAGTAAACAGCAGAACGATATCGTTTACACACAAGGTCAAAAAACCTTTCACCTACGTCACCATGACTCAGTTCGTGAACCATTCTCTCACATGTTCGGTACAGCCAGAAAAGTATGATAGCAGCTAACACTTTAGACACAGTGATTACTACATTCGCTATGTAGACTGTATCTAAAGAGGAATACAACATAGGCTTCATTGCAGAGTGAGTTATAATTCTTGGTCAGCCATTCTTTTCCAAACAGCACAGTCAATTCCCGACAATAATTTTGCCTCCATCCTTAAAAACACCAGAGGTAGGCTATCTGTCCTAGATGCCTCATGGGGCTTCCGAACTTGAAGTTTGACCTCCGAAAGGATGAAGCCCATGACTTCAAGGGGTTTTTAATTACTGTGTTGAATAATCCTAA